CGGCCGCCGCTCTGCGCCTGCGCGCAGGGGGCGGGGCCTGGAAGGCGGCGGGCAGGGAGGCCCGGGGGCACCTGGGCCCTCCCGCAGCCGCCCCGGGAGGCGGAGCTCGTTGGGCGCGGGGCGGCTCCAGCAAGGCCTGCCCTTCCTCACGCAGGGGCTGGGACCGTAGAAACTCAGTATTTCTAACCTTAGAAAAGTGAATATTCTAGCAGAGCATGCGAACACGCACTTTTTTTGACCCTGTTTCACAGCAATGCAATTTTTGAAAGTGTTTCCACATTCTCCCTTTCTAACTAACATATTTTGGTAAACAGCTCTATTGCGAAAGCAGCCCTTTACCAGACCTGTATTAGCCAAAGACAGGTCTTTGAAGCCCAGGACCAGTTATGCTCCAAAAACTACGTAAAGCCAATTACTCAAATGTCAAAATGCTGCTGGTACTTTTACTTTGCTGGTAGCAGGGAATTTCCCTCCCCTTCAGCCTTTCTTGCAAGGCAAAGGTACCCTTTCAGTAGATGAATAACACAGGTTTAAGCAAGTTTTAATCACATCTTTTGCGTTCAAGAAGAGGCAACAGGAGAAAGCTAGATAAAGTGCAGTACCACAAAGACATTGCTAGTCTTAACAAAGACCTTTAATACTACAACAAGTAACATCAGTCCATGCAACATATTAGAAAGACCTGTTACCAGCACCTAAAAATACTTCTAAAAACAGTTTGATTTCAAATATTTAAAATGCCCCAAAGCACATTCTTTATTATACAAAAAGTGCTTGGCTACATCAAACATTTAAACACATTATTTAAGAAAAATACAATACTTAACTATTTCAATTTTATCATTTTAAAAATATTAAAAATAGATATTTAAAATATTTATACATATATAAAATATCTATTATTGCCTTATTCATCCTTGAGTGCGTACATGACATCATCCTGACTGATATTCAGTCGCACACGCATGTGAAGATATTTATTACTGGATTCCACCAGCAAGAGCCTGCAGGCACCAAGTCTTGAGCAAACTGCCATGACTTCCGACACTGTAGGACTCTGCATACCTTCAATTCTGCACAATGCTACATGTTGATGATAGACCTAGGAGAAGAAAAAAAAAAAATGCTGTTTTAGCACAAACTATTAAGATTTTATAAATTACATGTTGATGATAGACCTAGGAGAAGGAAAAAACAAACAAACAAACGCTGTTTTAGCACAAGCTATTAAGATTTTATAAAACACATAACACTAAACTAAGGTTCCCTTTGCCATACAATCAGAGAAAGCAAAAGCAGTCAGCAAGCTAATCTGTCTGCATTTTAACTACATCTTTTTATTTCTTACCACACCTTTTCTCCCCTGCACTGTGTGGAATAAAGCAAATCCAGCAGATCAAGAGCTGACATAAAACTACGTATTAATCTACACTGAAATGACAGCCAGGCCCAGTGACAAGTTCACATGAGTCATGCTGACTAGAAACAGTGAAGATCACAGCTAAAAAAGGCACATAATCTACCTTTAAGCACAGAAGAAAGCACTTGTGACAAATCGTGCAGACTAATAAACACGGGAAGAATCAGACAGTCTGCTGCCTTTTTAAATCTCTGGAAAGAAATTCCTTCTGATATCAGAGGAAAGCTACATTCTTTAGGGGAGAGGAGAAAAAGCAACAAAACAAAACAAAACACCACACACACACCATAACCTAGCACCTTAACAAAATATTCCCTGATGTTTAAGCACTGGTCACTCAGTGCATCTCTTCAAACATAGATGTTCAGGAACTATTAACAGAAAACATGACTAGAATGCTTACCAACAAACCTACAGGAACAGTGAAAACTGGCAAGTCCTGAACTTTTTTATTACGTAAATATTAACAGTTCATTTCGGTACTGTGGAAGCTATGAAATAGATTCCATGCAGAGATAAATCACCAACATGTAGGCAGATTAAATAAATAAACTTAAAAAAAAAAAAGACATTAGTGATATATCTGTCAGGGAAGATGGTAAAATAAAAGTAGAATTAAGTTTCAAGGCTTCCTACTTGAATTATGTCAACTAATATTCCCCAACTACCTCTTATTTCTTCTGCTATGAAACAAGTAATATGGAGGCCAAAAATTCATTTTGTGATCTGGAACTCCAGTAATATTGCAAGAACAGGTGCTTCCAATTCTAAGCATTCAACCCCATTCAAGAACAGGTGGTGGCAGCAATCAGGCTTTACCCCTAGCCCAAAGAGGCATGTTTCAGTTTACCTTGATACCTATCTTAGATCAAATCATAATAATTCAAAAATCGCAATTTTTGCACTTTTGCCTGATAATTTTTTTTGGAGTGACAAATTTGTTTTTAAAGTTTTCTGGAACACTAACATACCTGTTGCACTGTTGCTTCCTCAACACCTGCCCTGCGAAATTCAGCTAAAATTGCTTTCAGAAAGATTTGCTCATGTAGAGAGGCGCTCCTGAATAGCAAGAGAAAACAAAAATCAGTCTACTAAGTCCAGAATTTGTGAATCTTTAGGAAGGAGTTTGGAAAGGAAGGAAAATTGCTTGGGAAGCACATATTAAAATGCAGAGTATTTTCCTATAAGAGAGAAAAAGAATGCAAGACTTTACTTATGCTTCTCAACTAGCCACTATATTACAGCCAGCGTATTACTTCACCTCTGCTTCACTGTATCTGAACATGACATTTCATTCCATACATAATGGAAGGCTTAACTTCAGTTCAAGCATTCTGCTTGGTCATTGCACAGATCCCCATTTCTTACGAACCCTTATATATTTGACATTATATAAGACAAGGATGCAGTATCATCATGCATGTGTTGGGCTGGGGGGACAAGCCTGTATTTCCTCTCATAATTCTAACCTGTCTGTGAGTGGCAGAAGCCATGCAGAACCCAGCACAAGCTCTGCAGGGCGTTAAAAAATTCGATCACATTCTGCTCAGGGGTCTGTGACTGCATCTAAATGACCAAGAAGAATTGCACAATACAAGCAGATCTGCAGCACAAAGACGGCTCTGATGACTCCATGCCTTCACTACAAAGGTTCCTGGGGCTTCTCCTTCAGTCTAGTTGTAGCCTGACCCAGTATGCTGAATGGCCAGTAGTGATTTCCATTGTGAGCTTCTGAAGTGCATCTTCCAAATTTAGTTCTATCTGGAAGGAATTCAGGTACGTGCACTTGGAAACTGCAGTTCAGTGTTCAACATGAAGTAAATAGGGACAAGCAGGAAATTTCCAAAGCTTGCTCTCCATCTGAGCTAACACTCTACTATGGAGACATCCTACATAACTTTGCCTCTATGTCCTTCCTCTGTCTTTACTCCTGTTTTGTATTTCTCTCTCGTATAGCTGTGTCAAGGCTTGACTATGCAGTATTTCCACAAGCCTTAAGTATCCCATATGCTCCTAAGAGGGGGCAAACTGAAGATTTTTGGAAAATGGTGCAGTGAAAAAGATACAAAAGGAAGAAACACGCTGAAAAATGTTTTTACCTGATTGCATTTATGTACGGGGATGAAAACATTTCATCTATGGCCTCTGTTATGTGGACCATCCTGACTATTCCAGAGGTATTCTTTTGGCTAGCAAACTCGCATATCTCAGTGGCCCTTCTGCAGATATCGAGGCAACGCCTTGCATCACCAGACAATGCTGCTACCTGAAAGTAAACATCACACATTTAACAACATTTCCTATTAGTTGAGTAAAGAAGTTAGCTAGAATAGACAGAAAACAAAGGAAAAAAGTCTGCCACCTATTTTGTGGTGCCCCTCGTCCCCCTGTCATGTTCTTTACTTGATGCAACAGAGAAAAGATCTGGATTGTGTTTACCTTTCTGGAGACTAGCTGAATTGCATCCTCTTCAAATGCCTTCAGATTGCTCAGTCTGGAAGAAATAATTTGCTGTAGCTGTTTGTAGGTGTACGGCTGAAAGGACATTCTGGTGAGGCCCTACAGTAAACAATACAATATAGTTAAAAGTGTTTGTAGTGCTTTTAGCACATGCTATGGTTTTACTTTTGCTGTGGAATTCCATATTCAAAATGACACGTCTAAATTTCTGCTAAAGAAAATATTCTCTCCAATTAATAGATTCTGAAGCTACACTTCTCTTATATCCACTTGGCATCTCTCAGCTGCTGAAATATAACTTGTCTAGTTTTTAATTTCTCTGGTAGGAGCAAAACCTCATTCACATCCTTCTCCAAGTGATATTAGTATCACTTAATCAGTTCTACTTCATACTTGCAAACCAAATATACAGATCCATAAATGCAACAGATTCAGTGAGGACCAGGGGCTGGACCGCCCCACTGAACGGCCAGAGGAGCAAGAGCTGCTGCCATTAGAATGCAAATTTCTCTTATAGAACTTAAAAGCAAATCAGAGCTACACAGTATGACAAACTTGACAGCAACTGTCTAAACACCTCTTCCACTACAGTCACAGAGCAGAACATATCAAATACTAATCTTTCATACTGATACTTTAAATCAGTATACATGCACATATTTCTACTGCCAGCTTCATATGGTAGCCTGCAAAGTTAACAAGCAGCCACAAATTAAAAATCCTCTTATGGATTGGGCTAATAAAAACTGATTTCAGATACATATATTATGACCTCTCTTTCAAATGGGTGGCATACACTCTGCCTTTCATATTCTGCGCAAGGCCAGAGCTTTGCATTCCTCAGAACCTCTCTTGCAGGCCAAGAAGCAAGTGCCTGGAGTCCCAGATCATCAGTTGCTCTGCAGGTTTAACCAGTAGGGTGGAAAGCAATCAAATGAATTCCCATGTAAGTCACAGGAACACGGAAGGCACATAGAACTGTTCTTGCAAATAACTTTTCAGAGCTGTGTTGAAGTGATAGCCTAGGAAAATTATATGCACTATGAACAGATTTGTTAATTTTCTGTCCAAAGGTATCCAAAACAAAGAAAATCTGCCACATCATGATGGCAGACAGAACAGTAACCAGTTGCCTGGAAGGAATGGGGGGGAAAAAGTACCAGGCAGGTATGACTGATCGATAGGGTGTCACGGGTCCTTGTTTTGCGCCTGCTATGTTTGGGACATAATTAATTTAGCAATGTGTAAAGTCATCATGCCTGGAGTGGATGGATGAAAAATAATAGATTAGGGAACTTGACATTTGAAAGTGGGAAGCCACTCTGGCCAAGCAAGCTTCCATTTTTCAAATGGGAAAACCTCAATTGCAATTACTGCCACACAGGCTTATTTCTATCACAGCCTATAATAGTGAGGCACGAGCGGTGGTGAGTGGGGAGAAGGAGCCACCTTGGCATCGGGGACACCCAACCGAGACCCCTGCTGAGTGGGGCCCCAGGCAGCTGCCTCCTGTCACCGATGCTCACGCTCTCTCCTCCGCAGGGATTGAGGTACGTTACCACACTTGGGTTAGCCAGTAGGGTGCTTTGTAGTTTGGTTTACTTATTTCCTCATTTTTCTCAACCAACCCCTAGAAGTCCTTGGTTTCCTGTGCAATATAAATAAGTCGCGTGATACCGCACCCAAGATGGAGCGTGTGGTCCCTTGCCGCCCGGAATCCACAACCCCTACTACAAAGAGGAAGGGCAATCAGAAGGGAATTCCTCTGAACTCTGGAGTGAGCAGCTTAACCACAAGGCACAGGATTTGATTATTCAAATCTTAATAAGACATCTGCTAATTCATTCTTATAAGAACAGAGTGCTCTTACATGGCATCATATCTAATTAGCTGGCTGGCTCCTACACCTTCTTTTCTAAGATCTGTATGTTCAACATCCACCCTCCAGAGAGGTGGGGGAACTATAAGAGCATTGCTTAATGCCTGCTGTACCTCATCCTCTTTTTCTCCTGGATTACCTTTGACAACACACAGTATTTAATCTGTACTCATTTCCTAGCATAACAACATAACTGCTAGGACATACCAGTCGGCTGGCTACTCTGTTCATCATTATTCTCTCTGGCAAGTCCATGGTGTTAGCAATGGCCAAGATGATTAACTTAGAGTGCTTTTGAGTTGGCCAGTCAAATAAATTGTACATCACATTCTGTTTCCGGGTCCACAGAAGATCAAGCTGAGGAGAGAAAAAGAAGAAGTTGCCTGAAAAGCAATTACCATGCGTTTAAATATCAGAGCTTCAGAGAACAAGCAATTTATGCCACAGAGAACTTCTTAGGTGATCCCAAAAAAGTTGCCTTTGCACTTCCTTTATCTGTGTCTTTTCTGAATTAAGGCACTAATCTCTTTTGAAAAGGCTCAGTCCTGCTGAGCCTCAGAACTGCTTGAACAATTCACCACAGTATGAATGTGCAATTTTCTAACACTATTCTGATTTTAATACTGTGTGTAATACAATCAAAAGGCCATCCAAGTGAGGATGAATCAGCTCACATAATGAAGTGTGTTTGTTATTTACTGAGCACAACACATTCAAAGAGTTTCAAAGGTAGAATCTGATATATTTCATTGTGAATTTTCTCACAGAAAGAGCAGCACATTTCCAGGCAGTGCAGGCTCTAGATAGCTGAATCTTTGGGTATTTAGAACTTTACACAACAACTCATTTCACGAGTTGTGCCAAAACAAAATATGAAACCCACCTGAAAACCAACAGTTTAATAGGATACTTGGCTATTTACTTTCAGTTTAATAAGGAACTATTTGTCTTCTTTCCTACAGCTACTCCTGTTAAAGGATATACAATGTACTCCTACCATAAACAGTTGAAGTATATTTTATCTTTTTCTGTTATTGGAAAACTCACCTCTTATAACATTTGAGGAAAAGAGAATGAAGAGTTTTGACTCACCTCGTCCACTATCAGCACGGTGGTCTTCCTTTTTGGTCCAGGGGTAGAGAACAGTTTGGCCAACAGTGTTGCAGCATGGGTTGCTGTCACCTTCTGACCTGTCAGGAACTGGACAAGGATTAAGCAATACTGCAGGTTAATACACCATAGCCATGGAAGTTTAATGCTTACTCTGTTTGAACTTCTCTTTAATACTCAGCAACAAGCACCTCATTTCTTTTCCCTGGCGGTGGGAACAACTGCTTCTATAATGCTACAAAGGCATACAGAAATTAGTGTATGGAATGTCAGAATTACAGTATGTATGCTGAATCAATTGTTCAGCCAAGTTCAGACTCAACCCTTAAAATGCAGACTGCATTTGCAGATCATATTTGCTCTCCAAAACCTTTTTAAGAGCTCTTTAATACTCAGCAACAAGCACCTCGCTTCTTTTCCCTGATGGTGGGAACAATTGCTTCTATAATGCTACGAAGGCATACAGAAATTAGTGCATGGAATGTCAGAATTACAGTATATATGCTGAATCAATTGTTCAGCCAAGTTCAGACTCAACCCTTAAAATGCAGACTGCATTTGCAGATCATATTTGCTCTCCAAAACCTTTTTAAGAGCTGACCTCAGATCTTAATCATTAGAGTTTGAGCATGACAATAATGTATAATCTATACTTGTTTCATGTTTCCAATTCAAGAACAGTCCGAATCAGTTGTGTAAAGCAATTTCTAGAGATCCTGATTCTACAGCTCTGGAACTGAGCATCCTCCAATATACCATAGAATTCAGTTTATTACAGTGGAATTGGCATCTGTAAACAGAAATTTGTCATTCATTTTATCTATTTATCTGTACAGGCCTTCCTGTTGCAGCTCCCTGTTGTTTCAGGGTTATTAAAAAAGTCAGTGAACTAAAGCAGAAGATGAATATGCAGCAAGAGAGAGACAAAGCAATCAAACGTAGAAGCAGCCTATGTAGATGCTTAATGCTTAAATAACAACAGAAAAAGGAAAAACAGAGAAACAACTGGTTTATTTGACAACATGTTCCCATAAAGGATACTTAACTGGGCCAGCTTGAAGTGATGAGGCCCATAGAGACAACAGATTTTAGTCCCAAAGATTTATTCTTGATTAATTTCACAAGTTTACAAATGTTAAATGCATTTATGCTGGACAGAACAAGGAGTATTAAGATACTATTACCATGAATTTAGGTTCTCATGGGGCCTTTCATTGTGCTAAAGAAACAGTGACCTAGCTACAGCACACTCCCCTCAGCAATGTAGTGACTATGCTTCTTTGAGGGGAGGATGCATATTTATGCATATTTATGCATATTTATCCCCTCCAAATATGGCTTGAGATATATCTGAATGACATATATCATTTCCTACTAAAACAGGAGATATCAAACTTAAATAAATGGAACAGAAGCTTGTAAGAAAAGGCACCAGATGTTTCAGGAAATAGATCATTTCAGTTGTAGGTCATTGGCTTAAAGTCAGCCTAGATTGACATAGGTCTTGAGCAATTACAGTTTGAAGACGACTGGATGATCTTAATGCAGTTCTCAGTAGGTTAAATCACACTGGTAGACACCAGCCCTCTCAGCAGTCCCAGATGAGATACAGCAGACTAGTTGGTCGCAACGATTTTAAATGCAACTTTCTTCACAGAGATAGTCCCTCTCTATGTGATGACAAACTGATTAACCTCTTAGCCCTTCCAGTAATTATTCTACTGCTACAATACCTTCCAGAGCTGTCATTTCAGCAACGTTCTAAGTATATATGTGCACAAGAGGTTGTATTATAGAATGGAAAACAAAGAGCCACTGAGGAGGCTTTGCTCACCTCTAGGATCTGCACATAAGCTTGGTGAGGGTCAGTCAGCTTCATGCCATTGATCTCTATGAACTGGAAGGACGGTAGCTCATCATTTTCTGCAGCTTGCTGCAGACAGCGAATTACTTCGTGCACAGTTGCAGTTTTACCTGTTCCAGGAACTCCAGAAATGTACATGCACCTACAAAAGATGACACTTTATCAATATTAGCAAGCTCTTAACATCAAGGTGTTGAAAATCCTGGGCTCTGAGGCTATCCTTGAATATTACTCCCCTCCGCCACTCCAGGCAATTCCCTATATTTTTGTTACTTTATTTGCAAATTGAACATGCGCTATATTGGAAGAGCAACAAGATGTTTGTTACTACTGAAGTAATCAATCTAAAATACCTTCTTTTTTTTTTCTTTTTTTTAAAAAAAAGTAAAATTCAGCTAGGACCCACGTTTTAACTAAATGAGAATAACTCAAACTTACCCTCCTGTACCATCAATAAGTTTGCTTTCCACAAAGTTATAGATATCCTGGAATTCTTCTTCACGACAAGGCAGAGATTCTGGGACAGCTGAAACATGCAGCCTTTTGGGTTAAAAAAAAAAAAAAAAAGTCAGGGGATTCAAGAGTTGCAATTTCACATTTCTAACTGAAAGGCCTCCTGAAAAACAAATAACTAGATCTCCCTTTCACAGTTATGCAAAGGTTTTCAAATCTCTCAACTCTGAGTATCATGTCAAGTAACCCGAAAGAAACAGCCTAGACTCTCCACATGCCGAATTATGCACTTTTTTTTTTTTTTTTTTTAAATAGAGCTGGATAGTCATCTTCAGAAGCAAGTGCTATAAATATCCAGCAATAAAGATTATCTGCTGCCATTCACAATAAGAACTGTAGTTCAACACAGGGAATGGGATAGAATGGGGGAACCTGATTATAAAAAATAGTTATCCAAGTGTCCAGAAAGAAGGTAAAACTCAATGAGTGATGCTACCAGCCCTGTAGGCACTTTTCACAGTGCAGAAGGATCTAGAGCAAAACCTGTGAAGCATTTTCCACCTACCAAGAGAAGCCAGGTAGTGTACTCTTGTAACCTAAAGCTACAAGCCTTGTTTTTGTGATGTTGCATAGAGTAAAAATAAACAGACACCTAATTCCATAAAACTTAGCATGGACTGGTTACAATAATTTGAAATCCTAAAAGCAGTATTGTAAATACTACTAGTATTTGTAATTCTATATCCTGTTTTCAATTCATGAGCGACATTCTGCTATCAAGGTACCATGAACTTTTACCAAATTTATTCAATATAATAAAGGACAACATTTCTGTCTTTCAGCATAACCTCTGTGTACCTGAAGAAAACATACAATTTCTTCCCTTCAGCCAATTACACGTTACCTTAATCTGGCTTCTTCTAGGATATTGGCTGGTTTCTGTGCTACATGGCTGCGCTTGGGAATTTCAGGAGTTGCATTCCGGGGTGTCTTGGGTGTTGCTGATAAAGGCTGCAAAAAAAAAATGTTAAAGAGTTAAAAATCTCAAACAAGTTTTCTATCTCTGTGAATTTCTACGGGAGATTGATCATCCATACAAGTTTCCGAAGCATTATTTAGGTGAAAAAACTACCTGAGAATGCCAGAATACAAAATGAAAGTTTCCCCGGGTCACTTAAAGTTTAGCAGGAATTTTCCCTTAAAGCTTCCCAATGCTTCTTTCAGAACTTATTTACACATCACCATGTAACCATTCTGAAGCCACAGCTTGAGAGCTACCATGTCAAGAATACATGTTAATTCTACTGATTTCTAGCAAATCTCTCCCTGCTGTCCTTCAGTAAGTCAAAGCTTTATAGTCACAGAACAGGTCACTGTTCAGCTCCAGCCCAATCCAGTATTTTCCCTCTTCAGGCCGGAGTTTTTTAATCAACATCTATTCCCAACACACACAGAAACAGAGTTCACAAAACCTGTTCAGTTCTCATACAGATCGTATGAGCCAAGTTGATTTTTCATTAAAGGTTGACAAGGTTTTGATACTTAAGATTGAGTACACATGCATCAGGCATTCAAACAACTGACTTAGAAATAATAAAAACAGCTCTTAAGTGTCAACAGTAACAAGAACCTTACAGTTTTCTTTGGGGTCTTGGCAGGAGTGTGGACTGAAGACTTCCTTGAAGATTTTGGGGTGCTGAATATTCTGCTTGATTTAGAATTCCTCTTTGGGGTACAGAGCACATCATTCTCCTCTTCTTCACTACTGGAGTAACAGCTATCTGAGCTAGACAGAAAATCCTCTTCCTTCTCCGATTCCAGTATATTTAATAAGCTATGAATAACAAAAATGATAATGAGTTCTTTAAAGCTACATCCAACTCTACTCACCACAGATTATTATCTGATACATTGTCAGCTTTTTCTGTAGTTACCATACTCAACAGGCCAACATATTTTCCACTTGAGCTGTTACTTGTCGATGGCTATTATTCAAATCACCTGGATAAAAAGAACTTTGTTTCCCAATGAACACCTTGAGTCAGCTTTATGCTTCCAAATGACACATTTTTCATTCAGACTACAATAAACTGTGCTTCTGGAGCCATTTGCATTTTAATATTAAGTCAGAAAAATCTCTGATCTAGCAATTTGGATTGCTATCACTAGCAATCTAAATAAGAAGTAATGGAAGCAAAGGTTACCTGATTTGCTCTGCAATGCGAATGCTTGTCCTCAGTGCACATTTTCTGTGAGAACGAGGGGTCGGTATAGGGCTAACACTACGTAGTTTCTGATGTCCAGTTAAACTGTAAAGAAAGAACAAAAAGCTATTTGTATTTCCCTTTTACATCACGCTTGCAGAGGTGGAGAAAAGGCCTCTCTCTTCAGGTTCAATTTTTATAGCAGCAAGGGGAGATGAAGATTTTTATCCACATTGATAAGACTGCAAGATATGTTTTCAATTCCTTTTCATATCATCCTATGATTCCCATCCCAATCCCTTCTGTCTGTTGAGGGAAGGACAGGTTGCTTGTGTCCATCTCCAAAATCAACTTCTCTCACGATACTCCCTCCTCATTCAGTCAGCTCCAAGACACCTACTTCCTAGAGCTTCATCATAGTGTATCTGTAACTGTTTAAGCCATCTCCCTTCCTCTCTGTGATCTCAACAGACAGAACAATTTGGTAAACAGAGACTTCACCCATTTAATTGTCAGAAGTCCTTTTATGAAAGTGGTTTAAGAGAAATATATACAAATAGAAATCTCAAACAAAACTGAATTATCATAATGCTATTCCTTACCATATAGAGTCTTCTTTCATATGAAGATTCTTTTCTTCCTTGCTAGAGTCTCTGGCCTTACTATAGGGGGATAATCTAATTGTATCGCTAAGGCTCTGCTCACACTCTGCACTATCAAGCTTTGACTTTGGCTTATCACTACTGCAAGACTTTTTGGGTGGTGAGCCTAGAATTCCAGTGAATTTCACTTTTCGTTTCGTAGCCGATGGCTCTGACACTGCATCACAGTCATCATCCAGAAGTTCTAAAACATCACGTCCTGAGAGTGTGCCTTTGGGAGACTTGGTGGGACCTAGGAATCGAGAGCAAAATTAACTTTTGTCAGGCTTTAATATGTCTGATTTGTTAACTATTTGATGACATGGTGTGACTGGCTCAGTGGTTGTTGCTTAGATTTATAAATTTAAATGAAAAGTGACCATACTAAGCTATAAGGACAAAGAACCACTGAAAGGTATGCATTTCCTTTAGAGAGATGAAGTAGCAACTTCATGGATTGATTCTTTAGTTTACCTCCCACTATCACTTACAACTCCATCCAACAAAACATCTACAACAGCAATGGAATCAAAGCAATACAGCTGGTTGAAGGAGCAGATATGCAAGACAACTGATGCTCACAAAAGGCACAGGTTAACCCCAAAGTCAGATCAAAATAGCTGGTTAAAATACTATGTTGAGTTATACCTGTGTCTGAGCTACCCAAACTGAAGAAAGAGTACATACACAAATACAGATTCAAAACTATATAGGTAAACATATACGTACTGTTTAACTGTAACTTCTTCCTTGCTGTTGGGGTTTTCATGTCATTAGCTACTCTTCGTGAATGTCTCTCCTTAGACAGTGAGGACTTGGAAGCAGAATGTTTTGATTCTATTTCCATCTCAACATTTTTCTTTTTTGTCACACTCTGCACAACTCTCTCAGTTTCTTTCTCCAGGGCATAAATTATGTCCAAAGAATACAGTGGGGATTTTGGCAAAAACTTTGGGCTACCACCTGTTTTCTTGTTTGCTTCTTTTAACTTGGAGAATATGTCAGGGGATAAAGGTTTAAAGCATTTCCCATCCCAAGACAGTTTTACATAGAAAGTTGGTTCTGTGTTTAATACGACTGGGAGTGTTTCCCCCAGTTGTAGTGGTATTACCTGTAAAAGGAGAAAATATGAAAGCACACACACTTCAGCATTTCCTGTTAATCTAGCACTCAAATATTTTCTATTCACATAACTTATTACTGGAATGCTTGTAAACTTCATTATAGATAATAGCATCTTCAAACTGTATTTTGACTAGCGTAAGTTTACTGCACTACAGGACTCCCATCACTCCTCTATGCAATCTCCTAAGCTTCAGAATGAATTTGAGGGTTGTCAGACAGCTCTGAATTGAGGGAAAGGAGGAATATTAACATTTTCCAACTATCCCATGCAACTGCGCTAATAGTCAAATACACATCATACATTTGATGGGGGAGGGAATAAAATAGCTGCACTGCTCTGTTTTTTTTTTTTTGTTGTTGTTGTTTTTGGTTTTTTTTTTGGGGGGGGAGGGGGGGAAAGGACTTCCTTCTTTCTTTTCTTCATGTACAAAATAGGCTGCAGAACATACCATGACACTTCTGATAATGGTCTCCACAGATATGTCAGTGTCATATCCAGAAACTTGATCAAAAAATACTTCTTGTCGAGAAACCTCTCTTTTAAGTAGTCTCCTTTTATGCTGAGGTACCTCCGTAATATGAGAAAACCACTGCACAATCGCATGTTTCTGCTGAGCACCTGTAATAACAGCAACAAAATAAGTTAGTGAACATTAAAAATTGCTTTCATTGATTGTGGATAGTTAACACTATTTTGTGTTTGATTGTGGAACCATTTGATTGTGGATATATAAAACGATTTTGGCAAAGCTCAATGAATTCAGATAAAATATTTCACTAGACGCTTCATATATGCATACCCTAAAAGGCTCTTCCCTAAGAACTTTTTGTTTAGGCAGAACAAACAGATGAAGAAAATTACTATTGTCTTTTTCCACACAATCAAGACAGAGATAAATTGGCTCAACATCATACAGAGTCAGTAGTAAAACTAGGAACTGACCTCAGATCACATCTTCAACAAAATATTTGTATTTCAAAGCTGCTCTGGTAATATGCAGTTCTGACCATCAGAGTCCTGTCTTGCTAAGCATTCAGTCTTTCAATGAATCCTCATTACTAATGGAAAGTTATTTACCAAGAATGTGAAAACTGCAAATACGCAGACAATTTTGTATCCATTGCTACGTATTTTTATTTTTAAAGTGATGCTTAAAGATGGCAGGCTGTGTGTCTCAACTCCATTACTACCTGTTGTTCAAGCAAATGGCACCCTTTTAAGGTCATCGTAGCTCCAAGAGTGACCCAGTGATACTACTACCTGAAAGCTGCACTTGTGTGAAATGTGTGTAAAGGCTGTATGAAACGGAGCAAATGAAGCAATAGGAGCAATGAGAAACTCCTTTCAGGTATGAGAAACATCACTATTAAATGTTCTTAATTTTAACCAGGAAAAAAAGAGAGAAAAGCAACAGAAAAAGGAAAAAAGAAAACAAGAACAAACCCACACATTTATCCAGTGAATGACTAGTCTACAGCTAATAATTAAAAAGTTTTAGATGTTTCTCTAAAACATCTGACCACTATCACTGGCAAGATGCAGGATTAATGGAAAACTGCTATTTGACAGCTCAGATTTGCTTATTCTACTTTGAAAGCAGAGAGGGCGACATACAAAAACTGATCTTTAAAAGCAACACTTTAGGCAGTACTCAGTCTCAATGTAGTCAAAGTCTAACCCTTCTCCCAAACTGAGAAGGTCTAACAGGAAAATGTTGCATGGAGTCGAGCCACCAAGTACAGAAATTCTTGCTGGAGAGAGGTAAGAAAAAAAATGTCTGAGAAGAGACATTGCATTTTAAAAACAGAATTAGCATGTTTGAGCTGAGACATGCAGGTGATTAAGACAATACTAATGCAGAGTCTCAACCACAAACCAACTGATTCACAGCTGTATTTTTGGACCAATTCACTACCATAAATGAGTAGGTTCCTCATTTGCATATACATAACCTGCTCAGAACCCCTGAAAGCAGTTGCAGAAAAGGAGAACTTAAGAAATTGCAAAAAGTTGTTTGCAAATTCAGAGTTATTTTTAAAATAAATGAGAAACATTTGTTCACTGCTTAGAACCCAGGGAATCCTGCCATTGGAGCATTATAGCACAAATGAAAGAAGCTTTGAATAAACATCGCAGACAAATGCAGAGTGGGTGGAGTTAAACATGCAGATTACAATTGAATAGCAGCTTTTTCTCTAGATTTAAGTTGACAAGAGGAAACATTTGATATGACTCAGCATCCTATTTCCAATAAACTTTCATCTTTCATTACAGCATGGAAAAAATACTACAACAAATTCGTGCTAGTAAATAAAAAGGAGTTATATGTATTCATACTATGAAAAAAAAAAAAGAAACCCTGAAAACATTATCATGATGATGGTCCAAACCAAATAGCAAAAGCTTTCAAAGAAATCAGACATAACTGTTGAGCAGTTTCTGATTCCAGCTCAAGACACAGCCTTTTATGTGTCACTTCTATAATTTATTTTTCCAGTCTGCCTTCATCTATAAACAAGCAGTTTCATGAAGGACAGAAGTAATGAGCCTGTTTTTCCAGCCTTGCACCTTCTTACCAAATTCCTTGATACCTAATACAATGCAAGTTCCTCAATTGCAGTGTTCCTACTCCATATAAATTCTCTAATATTTAAGTAAAGTGTGAGCTCACATGGCCTTCTTCACCTCCGTTTTTCTAAGGGATGACAAAGTAAGATCCTAGAAACTGAATGCCATTATTTCTCTTACTATCTATCAATTTTTGTTAAAGTAGTTGTTAACCTCAAACATCTAGGATGCACGTGGATAAACACAGTGATTACCAAAGCTTTCTTAATAAATTGGGTAACCAATACAGTGTTAACACTAACTACATCACCAGAAAGCAGGTAGCTATAAAACATTTTAAGATTTTTCAGTTAGAAGGAAGTAAATTTTTATTACTCTTACCATCTTCATATAAATCCAGGAGTTGTGCCACAAAAGGTCGATCTGCATTCTCCCCTTCTACTAAAACAAACTCGCCAATCTGTATACAGGTTTCCGTTTGAGTTCTTTGTGATTTAATAAGGAATCCCCTAAAAAGGGATGTGCACACGATTATTATTAAAGCTGATCAGCTGGCAACCTTACAGTTATTTCTCCCACCTCCTGCAAAGCCTGAAAGTTTCCTGCTTAAATACAGGAATATACACACTTAGAACTATAGAGGCCTTCTACACACAAACACTCTTGCTCCATAGGATAATTTCTAGCTTGCATTGCACAAAAATGCAGCTATCCAAAAAAATGGATAGCAAAAAAACACTACCAAATTGGAGTTAGACAAACTCTCCCTAACAAGACCCCTGCCAAATAGTTGCTTAACACATATTCAGAGATTTAATTAAATGCTTTCTTTTGTTAACTCAATATGCATTTTTAATTCATAATCTTTTTTACTATATACAAAGCCCTGCTCAGAACCACTACTCTATTCTAACCCTCTCTGCTGCATTAACCTATTCCTGAAGGAGCCATAAATAAGTGTTACTTACTTGTACTGCAGAGTCCTCAGTTTTCTGTCTGAGCTTGTGGGTTTTCCATACCAGATATAGATACGTTTGCTCTGTTGGCGGGTGTTCATGATTCCTAGGGAAAATAATAACAACATATATTATTTAATTTAAAAAGAACAGGGAACAAGCAAGGCTTGCCAGATTCCCAGATCTGCTACCAATTCCAGAGGAGTGTGTGAAGAAGGCAGCGCACATGAGTTAACTTACAGAAGCTGGCCTTCTCCAAACCTCCAGAGTGTCAGAGAAGAAGGGAAAGTTTTCAGTATTTGGGACAACATTGGCTCTGACGACACATGAGGGTCTCGGGGGGCTTCGCCTGGCCATTTTTCACCTAGGCCCCATAACTCCCAAGCAGATGAGGCCATCCCAAGCCTTTAAAACGCACGCAGGTTTTATTTAAAGCTTCCGAATAAGGGTTTTCTCTCTGGGAACGCCTCAGGAAAATGCACCCCTCCCCACGACGCCCCCAGCCCCCCACAGG